AGAAAAGTTTCCTGTACCAATACTGATTTCTCCGCGCCTACTACCTCTCTGCATATCAGTCAGCCTAGCCTGCAGCGGGAGAGGGAAGGCCCAGAGCCTGACGGAGGGCACTGCTGATTTCTTTGCAGGCCCCAAAGTGAGAGAGCTGAAGCATCAAGAGCAGCAGGAGCCTCCAAAGAACACAGAGAGGAAGAGGCAGCCCTGCACTTGTGCAAGTGAACATTCTGGTCTTGCTGTTGTCTTTGTGTTCCCTGGTTCTGTTTACTAGGACTTGCCTTAGTTCAGAGTGAACTTTCTGAAGGACCCGGGGGGGGGGGGGGTGTCTGCTTGAGGCCAGTTCTACCCTACCCAAACCACAAAGCCCTCTCCATACATCCAACACTTTTCCCTGACAGCTACATGGCTCTAAATGGGTTGCCAAGGGTCCAGGAGAAACTCCTGACTGCTTGGCTTTTGTGCTTCTAACAAGAGATTTGATCTGCAAAGATCGGTAGAAGAATCGGTTCCTGGCCCGGAGGGAAACCTGATCCCTTCCTGCCCCTTGCTGGAAATCCAGGCCCAGATCTAGAGCAGGCAATCCTTAGGGGGGCAAAGAAGGGGCCAGCCGGTTGGAGTAAGCAGTGTCTGGTGTACAAAAAAGACCATGAAGGAGGCACCAAGAGGAAAGGCCACCTGGACAAGATAGTGAGGTCAGCATCTTCTTCCTGACAATTCCTTGTCTGCCTCATACCTTAAATAAACCTTTGTTGGGCTGAAAGGTACCACTGGACTCTAAATTTGTTCTAACTCGCCATCTCTTTACCTCAGCTAGTGATGTAGAAAGGTTCTCTCTCTGCTCTTCACTATCAAGTATGTTCATACCCGACTAAAGCTCTCTCTACACTTTGATCAGTTTGTGCACCTCTGTTGCACAACATGACCTCCTCTTCCCTGGCCCTGCTCTGCAGGTGGGACTGACAGACCACCTTGCAGGGCTTCCCAGTCTGGGGAAGCCTCTCTACCACTCTTTACCTGCCCGGGCATCTCCCAGTCTGGCTGCTTGAGCCCCAGTCCACCAGCTCACCTGCAAGCGGGATCCCAAAAGCAGGGCGTTGGGAGTACTTCGGTATTTCTTCCCTCATTTCATTATGCTCCATAGGAACTGTATCTCATTCCTTTACTAGGTTCTTGTGCATGCTGGCAGAGTTTAAATAAGCAAGGAAGTGGAGTAGGTTTATTAAAGAACAAACTGTTACAGAACATACAGAGAGAAAGCCTAAACTAACCAGTCTAGCTGCTGTGAGAGGAACAATGAGCAACAGGAAGTTTCTAGAACAGCCAATCAGGAGACCGCAAGGACACAACTTCAAAAAGTGGGCAGCCCCTAGTCTAGCTATGCTATCTACAAGTCCTTCAGCTGTCCCCTTTTAGGGTGATCTTCAGATCTTCTTCATAAGGCTGCACTATAGACCTTGCATATTCCAACAGTGCACACAGAGAAAAAAGGGACTGCTTCAAAGGCTTCTTTTTCAAATTAAGGAAAGGATTAAGTGTGCATTTAATACCCCAACTGGGCCAAGGAGGTCTGCTCTGTAATCCCAGATGTGTAAAGTCTACCTGTGGTTGCTGGGTGAGGCTGGCTAGGCACTCTGTTCATGCTGAGACGCATTGTCAGCCAATGGAAAGTCAGGCAGAAAACGAAAAGGAGTAAAAAAAAAATTGCTTAGTGAGGTCAGGGAACATTCAGCCAATGTTTTCAAAAGACTCAGCTATCCAGACATGTGGTGTCATTCGTTGGGGTGTGGGGTGCAGGGGTGCATGCGATGCAAAGACGACAGGACACAAGTCTGCAGGAAGCTGATCTGAATGAATGCTCTCACTCACCAGCTGTATTTATTGAAAATCCGTCTCCTCCTTTCCCCCTCCCTTCCCTTCATACATTACAGCATCCTTAAGGAATGTGTGTGTGTGTGTGTGTGTGTACAGGCAAGTTCTCTGTTATCAGTTCCTCCCCCTCCTCAAGGTTAAACCGACTGCGTCAGTGAGCAGTAAACAGATTCCATCTCGGGCTCTCATTACGTATAAGTATTTCAGTTCCCAATTTCCAGGCAGGAGAATCCATCTGCTCTGCTTTCCTACACAGACAATAGTTATGAATACTCTAAGGCATGAATGTCTCAGCAGCCCCAAAATGGCAGCCAACGTCTTACCTGAGCAACATTCATTAATATTTGGAAACTGCCAGTTATCGTATTGCCAATGGCATCCATTCGCTATTAATTTATCAAAGCCTAGGTCATTTCCATCGTGGTTCTGGCTTTGTGGATTGGGCTTCCTGAAGACATTATGAAGGGGGAGGCAATGTTATTTTGGCACACAACCCACTGAAGACGTATCATTTTCAAGGGTCCAGGCCTTTTCTGACTCTGTGGGCTGGGTTCCCTAAAGAGGTGAGGGGGGGGGCTCCTTGGAGATCTTCAGGAGGCCCTGCAAGGCCTTTTGGGGTGGTCTGAATGGTAGGCATCTTTTAAGTAGGACAGGGGAGAGATGGGGGGGGGGGGTTTTCGCTATTTTATTTTCAGTTTTAACTGGAAATGTTTTTAACTATTATTGTAAGCCGCCTTGAACCACAAGGAAAAGTGGGGTACAGATGTTCTAATAAAATAAATAAAATAGATTTCTGTGCCTATCAAACATATTTCTTCTGAGAAGGCCACTTCTCCACAAAAGAATCCTGACAACTATCTTAACTCACTCACATCATGAAGGCAAGCAAACTGGGTTGGGTTCACACAGGAGGATCAGTCATGGCGCAAAGTGCCCATCTCAAGCATCTGCAAGAGGATTTCTGTCTTACAGCTTTATAAACAATTTTTAAAAAGACATGCTGCACCAACAAACCACAGGAAAATACCACACAAATAGAAATAAAAATCTTTTAGTGAGCTATAACCCTTCTTTAGCTAAGCTTTGTTTTCTCTAATTAATTAAACCCCTGCTTACGTAAGGCTTGCCAACTGCCTGGAGGAAAATAGTGTGCTGTCCCTTTAACAAGAATGTTACTCATCTCTTCAAATGCCCACTTCCACACACTAAGCCTCTTGGAAACAGGTATGATTTTTTCCCTTGCAGATCTGTTAGCAATCCTAACAGATTTCTTTCCAAAGCAGTGAGATGAAAAGAGAATTTTCTCAATCTGCAAAATGAAAGCACAACCTCAAGGAAGGAATCGGGGGTGGGGGGATGACATTACTCCAGGACATTTGTGGCTCATGGAGCCCAGGGGAGGGGTTCAGAGCAGGTGGAGGGAACCTTACTTCGGCCCCAGTCACACGGGCCGGATATCGCGGGGGGGGGTGGGAGGCGTGGCTGTTTGCCCCGCAGCGAAATAACGTGCTACTGCGCGATCAGGTGTCCTCTCGCAGTCCCGTCGTTAGGGGGGAGGTGCCGATCACACGATGCGCCAAAGAAGCGGCACGGCAAACGGGGTTGTGTTGGGGTTTTTTAACCTGAAGTATGCGCATGCCCCGTTGGGTGCTTGTGCGCATCCCTGGAGACCTTGGGGGGGGGGAAATCTTTTCGCAATGGGGCATGGGCGGGCGCCGGATGCCACCGGAAACGCGATCAGACGCCCGCCCTTGCCCCGCAGTTTTCGGAAACTAGTACCTCCGAGGTACTAGTTTTTAACCGCGCATCTTCGGAGGGAAGCCTCGGGTTCACCACGGGAGCTCTACGCTTCCCAGATATGGCGGTGAGATCGCGCCCGGAAAATCAGCCTATCTTCCGTCACAGTAGCATGGCTACTGCTCCGTGTGACCGCAGCCTTCCTCCTCCTGTTTCTCTCCAGGAGAAACTAGAATTGGGTGGCAAGGACAACTAGGATTGAGGAATTTCTCTCCCACAACATTCACCTGCCAGCTCCAAGGATACTTTCTCATTTCCACAATACTGGATGGTTTTTTTGGGGGGGGGTCTTGACCCCCTTTGAACTTACTGAGTTGTTGGGTTTGGGGGACACACCACCTTTTCCTTTCAACCCAAATTAATCCTACTGCCAGAACTTTTTGGGCTTCAAAGTAGTGAGACCCCAAAAAGCTCACAAGAGGCTGGACTGGGGGAGGAAGTAGGGTTCAGAAAGGCCTCTCTACAACTCCTCGCTGGATAAAAATGTTTGTAAATTTAGGGTGCAGGCTGTTCACAGTATGTTTACGCCAGTAGCAGAGATGCTGTAGGTATCTGCTATCCTTCACTTGTCTATTTCTTGTCAGCATTTGGAAAATAGATCTATTTTGAATGTTTTGCAGATGTCAGAAAGAGCTAGCTTGGCAAATATACTGAACTAGGGCAACCACCTTTGCATAACTACTTTTGGAGCATTTCTGAGCCTCCAACGCCTGGGCATTCAAAGAAAAGCCTCAGCAAAACCAACTATAGGAAAGGTTCACCTTTCTGTGGATTATCTGAGCCTCAAGCTCTTGCTACACAGTATTTATAAGGTTCCTCCCCTGTGCGGATTCCTTGATGGTTAAGGAGATACAGTCTGGTCTTGACTCTCCTTCCACCCTAAGAACCTTTCTTTCTTCTCTGTGCGGTCTATTTCAGTGTTATCCTCAGTCCAACTATTTCTATCATTTCTTTGAGGTTAGGGTCAGGATTCTGGGGAAATACAAGGTCTTTAGAAGTGTTTACGTGGTTTCAACCCTTTCTATGCTCTGTGGTTGTCTTTTAGGTGTGAAATAAGAGAAAAGCTCTTTTCACAAGCTAAGCAGTTACATGGTTTCTCCTTGTGTGTGTTCTTTCAAGCTGTTGAAGATAGCCAGGATGACAGAATCTCTTCTCAGAATCTGAGGATTTAGAAGGATTCTCGCCATGTGAGTTCGTAGATGGTTTCGAAGATCACAGCTCTGAATGAATCTCTTTTCACACTCTAAGCATTCAAAAGATTTTTTTTCTTGGTGTGGGTTCTTAGATGCTGTTGAAGAGTGATGCTCCAGTTGAAGGTCTTTCTATACTCTGAACATTCAAAAGATTCTCCTCTGCGTGTGGGTTCTTTGATGCTGTTGAAGATTGTCACTCCGATTGAATCTCTTTCCACACTCTGAGCATTCAAAAGGTTTCTCCCCTGTGTGGGTTCTTTGATGCTGTTGAAGACTGCCACTCTGACTGAATCTCTTTCCACACTCTGAACACTCAAAAGGTTTCTCCCCTGTGTGGGTTCTTTGATGCAGTTGAAGAGTGCCATTCTGACTGAATTTCTTTCCACATTCTGAGCACTCAAAAGGTTTCTCCCCTGTGTGAGTTCTTAAATGCTTTTGAAGATCACCACTCTGACTGAATCTCTTTCCACACACTGAGCACTTAAAAGGTTTCTCCCCTGTGTGAATTCTTAAATGCTTATGAAGATGGCTGCTCTGACTGAATCTCTTTCCACATTCTGAACATTCAAAAGGTTTCTCCTCCGTATAGGTTTTTTGATGCAGTAGGAGATCACCACTCAAAATAAATCTCTTTCCACGCTCAGAGCATTCAAAAGGTTTCTCCCCTGTGTGAGTTCTTAAATGCCTGTGAAGATGGCCACTCCGACTGAATCTCTTTCCACATTCTGAGCATTCAAAAGGCTTCTCCCCTGTGTGTGTTCTTTGATGCTGTTGAAGATTGACAGACCCACTGAATCTCTTTCCACATTCTGAGCATTCAAACGGTTTCTCCCCTGAGTGGGTTCTTAGATGCCGTTGAAAACTGCTACTGTCACTCACTCGCTTTCCACATTCTGAGCATTCAAACGGTTTCTCCCCTGAGTGGGTTCTTAGATGCCGTTGAAAACTGCTACTGTCACTCACTCGCTTTCCACATTCTGAGCATTCAAACGGTTTCTCCCCTGAGTGGGTTCTTAGATGCCGTTGAAAACTGCTACTGTCACTCACTCGCTTTCCACATTCTGAGCATTCAAAAGGTTTCTCCCCTGTGTGGGTTCTTTGATGCACCAGGAGATGGCTACTCTGACTGAACCTCTTTCCGCACTCTGAGCATTCAAAAGGTTTCTCCCCTGTGTGAGTTGTTTGATGCTGTTGAAGATTGCCACTGTGACTGAATCTCTTTCCACACTCTGAGCACTCAAAAGGTTTCTCCCCTGTGTGAGTTCTTAAATGCTTATTAAGATGACTGCTCCGAATGAATCTCTTCCCACACTCGGAGCATTCAAACAGTTTCTCCCCTGTATGTATTCTTTGGTGCACAAGGAGCTGTGATTTGTATTTAAAGTAACTCCCACACCAAAAGCATTTACATGCCTTCATTATAAAGTTTCTTGGGAAATGCAGATTTCCCTGTCTTTCATCAAAGAATGTCATTTCACTCTCTGAACAGATCAATGGCGTCTCTCCTGAATAAAAACTTTGGTGTTTAATAAGCTCTGATTTCTCTGAAAAACTCATGCTATAATATTGCTCTCCTGTATATGTCTGTTGATGTTTAAGGAGCTCTGCTCTACAAAGCAAGCTCTTTCCACACTCCAAGCCTTGATGGATCTTCTTTCCATCCTGCATTTGGAAATGGAAATTATATTGGGTTTCATCTGAGAAGATCATTCCACACTCCAAGCACGTGTACACTTCCTTCACCATGTGAATTGCTTCACGGAAATCTCTCCCTTGGAAAGGATTGGGTTGATCCCTCTTCTCGACTACGTGGCTTCCTTTCTGCCTCTTGGGTCTACCTTGAGTTCCCAAGTTTCCCCTCAAGTCTTCATTCTTGACTTCATCTGGTGATAGATGATGCAGTTCCTCATCCTCCTTGTTTCTCTGATCATCTTCTGTTGGAATAAAGAGAGAGATCGTGTTAACACCTGCACAAAGTCTTATTTGCACCTGAAATTCCATCCACGCTCAAAGCATTTCAGGGCCTTGTACACAGGACCACCCCCCCATGGTTTTTGGAAGGGATATCAATGGGGGGGATTAAGACACCTAGGTGACAACTGAAGAGAATCGGTGATTACCCTTTTGCCTCATTCAGCCTGAAGGGAAGATCTTGTCTCACTAACCTGTTAGTGTTCTTTGAGGGGGTGAACAAACATGTGGACAAGGGGATCCAATAGATATTGTTTACCATGACTTCCAGAAAGCTTTTGATAAAGTTCCTCATCAAAGGCTCCTAAGTAAGCTCAAAAATCATGGGATAAAAGGAACGGGACACAGGCTATGGCAAATAAAATGCAAGTCTGTAGTCAGGCAGGCAAAAAGGGAATATGAGGAGCATATAGCAAAAAACGTAAAAACCAACAATAAAACTTTCTTCAAATACATTAGAAGCAGGAAACCAGCCAGGGAGGCAGTGTGGCCCTTGGATGACCAAGGGGTAAAAGGAGTATTGAAGGATGATAGGGAAATGGCTGAGAAGCTAAATGCATTTTTTGCCTCTGTCTTCACTGTGGAAGATGAGAAGTGCTTGCCCACTCCAGAACCGCTGAGTTCGGGAGGGGTGTTGAAAGAACTGAGTCAGATTGAGGTGACGAGAGAGGAGGTCCTAAAACTGATAGACAACTCAAAAACTGATAAATCACCAGGCCCAGATGGCATACATCCGAGAGTTCTGAAAGAACTCAAATGTGAACTTGTGGATCTCCTGACAAAAATATGTAATCTTTCCTTAAAATCTGCCTCCATTCCTGAGGACTGGAAGGTAGCTAATGTCACTCCCATCTTTAAAAAGGGTTCCAGAGGAGATCCGGGAAATTACAGGCCAGTCAGTCTGACGTCGATACCGGGTAAATTGGTGGAAACCATTATTAAGGAAAGAATTAGTAGGCACATAGATGAACAAAACCTATTGAGGCAGACTCAACATGGGTTCTGTAAGGGAAGATCTTGTCTCACTAACCTGTTAGTGTTCTTTGAGGGGGTGAACAAACATGTGGACAAGGGGGATCCAATAGATATTATTTACCTTGACTTCCAGAAAGCTTTTGATAAAGTTCCTCATCAAAGGCTCCTAAGTAAGCTCAAAAATCATGGGATAGAAGGACAAGTCCTTTTATGGATCAAAAACTGGCTAGTTCATAGAAAACAGAGAGTGAGTGTAGGTGGGCAATTTTCTCAGTGGAGGGTGGTAAGCAGTGGGGTACCACAGGGATCAGTACTTGGTCCACTGCTTTTTAACTTGTTCATTAATGATTTGGAGATGGGAGTAAGCAGTGAAGTGGCTAAATTTGCGGATGATACAAAGTTGTTCAGGGTGGTGAAAACCAGTGAGGATTGTGAGGCACTCCAAAGGGATCTGTCAAAGTTGGGCGAGTGGGCGTCAACATGGCAAATGGGGTTCAATGTGGCCAAGTGCAAGGTGATGCACATTGGAGCCAAAAATCCTAAATATAAATACACATTGATGGGGTCTGAACTGGCAGAGACTGAGCAAGAGAGAGATCTTGGAGTTGTAGTGGATAACTCACTGAAAATGTCGAGACAGTGTGTGACTGCAATAAAGAAGGCCAATGCTATGCTGGGGATTATTAGGAAGGGTATTGAAAACAGATCAGCCAATATAATAATGCCCCTATATAAATCAATGGTGAGACCTCATTTGGAATACTGTGTGCAGTTCTGGTCACCACACCTCAAAAAGGATATTATAGCTTTGGAAAAAGTGCAGAAAAGGGCAACTCGAATGATAAAAGGGTTGGAACACTTTCCCTATGAGGAAAGGTTAAAGCACTTAGGGCTCTTTAGCTTGGAGAAACGACGACTGAGGGGAGACATGATTGCGGTTTAAAAGATTATGCATGGGAAAGAGCGGGTAGAGAAAGAGGTACTTTTCTCCCTTTCTCACAATACAAGAACTCGTGGGCACTCCATGAAACTGCAGAGCGGTCGGGTTAGAACGGACATGGAATTCACTGCCACAGGAGGTGGTGGCGGCTACAAGCATGGACGGCTTCAAAAGGAAATTAGATAAGCATATGGAGCAGAGGTCCATCAGTGGCTATTAGCCACAAGGTATAGATAGGGGCTCTGGGGCAAGTGATGCTCTGTCATCTTGGTGCTTGGGGGGGGTCAACAGTGGGAGGGCTTCTAATGTCCTGGCCCCACTGCTGGACCTCCTGATGGCACTGGTATTTCTGGCCACTGTGTGACACAGAGTGTTGGACTGGATGGGCCTTTGGCCTGATCCAACATTGGCGTCTCTTATGTTCTTATGTTCTTAAACCACTAGGCCATTCAGGTTGACTGTTCTTAAGTAGTCTCTCTTACATTCCTGGCTACTTTAGCAGAGGTAAAGAGAAAGTCATTCGCATATGGGAAAGAAATCCAAGGAAGAGGAAAAATGTGTCTAGAATGATGGAAACATTGTCAAGATCAAAGCCCACCATCCTAACCAGTTTAAGGGGGATGAATCCATACCAGATCACAGTCAGAGTGGATGGCCCTTGGAGGAGATAAAAACCAGCTCTCATCAAATCAAAAGTGACAGGTGCCCCTCCCCCTTTCTGTGTGGAAGTCCCGCCCTCCAGCCCCCTCCTCCAGAAGCACTCCACCCCATGGCTGCCATTCCTTCCCACTGGCTGGGCTGTCATCCAATGGGAATGGAGAAGGGAGGCGTTAGGGTTTGTCAGGTGGTATTGTTTTTCTCCTTGGGTTAGTGGAGGTGGGTGTTGGGACATGGGGCAAAGTGGCCACCATTGTCTTTTGTACCTTGAGAGCAGTAGGGGAAGCCTAAAAGAGAATGGCTGGGCATTATTTGTGTGTGTTTTTGTATAGGAAGGGCTTTGGGAATGTTGTTTGAGAAAAAAATAAAAGGCTGTATATGGCATTTCCCATGCCTGTGTGTGTTTTACAGGGAAAGTGAGCGCTTTTGAAAAATACTGCGGAGGTGGAAATGAAAGACACGTGGGGGGGGGGGGGGAG